GGCATAGTCCAAGTTGGTGTGGAGACCTATGGAGGTGGCATCTGGAACACCTGGTTTGACCGTGACCTCACCGTGGCTGGGAGGGTGATCATAAAGGTGAGTCTGATTTGGGGCAGGCACAGTGGGATAGCTGTGTGCCCCCAGCTCTGGGTCCTTGACTCCCACACAGAGTGGGACCTGCTGCAACCTCTCAGCCTTACAGGCCTGGCCCCAGAAGTCCTTCTTGTGTTTCAGGACCCGGCCACAGGGCGCCTGGAGCAGCGCCTGGTACGCGTGGAGCGGCCCATCCTCCGCATTCCTCACCTGGCCATCCATCTGCAGCGCAGCATCAATGAGAACTTTGGGCCCAACACCGAGCATCACCTGTAAGGCCTGGTTCGGCCCCAACCCCTGGCCAGCCCTTGGGAGGGATGGGACACAGCTGGAGCAGTTGCCCACCCTCAGCTCGCCCTTTGCCAGCTGCTGATTGCAGTGAGGAGGTCTGCAGTGGCTTTTCTTAGCCCCACAGAGTCCTTTCAGGAGATGCTTCCAAGCTTAGGACTTGGGAAGGACACGGGGGTATCCTGAGGTGGCACAATAGATCTGTGCTTCAGGGGCTACCATGTTCAGCATGGTAGTTGCTCCCTGGAGGAGCAAGGCAGACACTCGGGAGGGATTTGTTGTGTGTGGCCCAAGCAGGTGAGGTGAGCAAAGCCCTGGGGGCTAACATCATTGTCTCCCACACAGGGTTCCCATTCTGGCCACTGCTGTGCAGGAGGAGCTGGAAAAGGAGGTGCTTATGGAGTCCACACCTTGCAGTGCTGTGGCCCAGGTGAGCTGGGTGCCAAGGATCAGTGGGGACTCTTGCTAGGACCTCACACTTGTCACCTTTGATCTCCATTCCTCAGGGACCTCCCACCAGGTTCCTCTTCCCCTTCTCCCCATGGACTGGTGGTAAGCTTCCACTCGGCCTCACAGCTGTGTACGTGGCACATCTGCTCAGCCATCTCTGTCTTCTCACCCTGCTCTGCAGCCACTGTGTAGAAGTGGGTGCACTTCCCCAAGGAGGCAGGGCGGGGGCCTTGCACAGGGGGCGGAGACCTGTCCTGGGTGAGGTGGGGGCTTGAGCACAGGACATGTTAGCAGGAGAGAGGACATAACAACGTGAGTGGGGTGTGGGACAGCTCTGCAGGGTGAAACAGGGAGCTTCCCCTGCCATCCACAGCCTGCCCTGCCCACAGCTCTGCTTTCTTCCCAGGCAGAGCGCCACAGCCCTGTCCTGCTTTCCCTGATCTGCCCCCAGCTGGGGGTGAAACCGGAGCAGATTGTAGAGCTGGAACTATGCCTGGCAGATACACAGCCAGCGGTGAGTAAGGGCAGGAGCCTCCTTCTGCCGGCACACAGCCTGCGGGCTGGCACTACACAGGTGTTTCCTGGCACACGTCCTCGGCCTGGGGCGTGCCAGGGCTGGAAGCTGAGTGGAACAAGAGGAGGCAGCTCCTTAGGGGCATAGATGAGGGGACTGGAATGGGGACCCAGTGCAGATACTTTTTGGTGTGCCAGAGGCTGTACCCTACTCCTCCTGGCTCTCTAATTGCAGACACTGGGTGGTGCCTTCGATGAGTTCATCTTCTCCCCACGTCTGGACAACTTGCACAGCTGCTACTGCGCCCTGCAGGTGAGAGTGAAAAGAGCCTGGAGGCTGCAGAGTGGTCCCAAGGCACCCTGGCTCAGCTTTGAGCTGGCCCAAGGCTTTGCAAAGATGTGTGTTCCCATGAGATGGCTCTGGCTTATAGGAGGATCTGGTTTTGGGAGCTGCCCACTTTGCTGAGTGTATGGGGTTCCCAGCAGCTCCCAGGGGTGTCTCCTGCTGTCACCGGGCCATGTGTGTGCCCACAGCTCCCTTCCTCCATGCTTTGGGCTCTCCTGGGAAAGTTCCTGATGGCTCGGTCGTGAGACTCCCAGGATGGCACTCAGGCTGATGTCCATTCCCCCCAATCCTGCAGGCCTTGATTGACTCGTGCGCGGCGCCCTCCTCACTCTCCCAGGAGCCCAATGTGCGTCTCATCGCACTCTATGACAATGAGGAGGTGAGCAAGGGCACAGTCTGGGATGGCTGGCACTGGGAGGGGCTCCATGTTCTTTGCTCTCCCCCAGCCATGCCTGGCAGGAGAGAGACATGCCATGCCCCAGTGGAGGAAGCTGGGATTTGTCTACACCTCCATGGAGTGTGGCCTGGTCAGGGGGTGGAAGGCACTTGTATGATAGGAAGCAACTCTGCTGGCTTTGGGGAGTCCCCTGTCACTCAGCTGGCCCCTGGAGTGTTGGGGGGTTGTGCTGATGGTGATTCTTGGCAGGTAGGGTCGGAGAGTGCACAGGGCGCGGAGTCCTTGCTAACAGAGCTGGTGCTGCGTCGGATCTCGGCATCGCCACACAACCTGACAGCCTTTGAGGAGGCCGTGGCCAAGTCCTACATGATCAGCGCTGATATGGCCCACGCTGTGCACCCCAACTATGTGTGAGTAGCCTGAGCAGTGCCACAGGTCAGGACAGCTTCCTCTGCCACCTGAGGGGACATGTCCCCATCATTCCCCAGGGAGTACAGACCATGCAGTCTTTGTTGTGGCAGGGAGGGAGGGCTGTACATGAAACTCCTGCTTCTCTTTTGCAGGGACAAGCATGAGGAAAATCATCGTCCAGCCTTCCACAAGGTGAGGGCAGCCCTCTGCTTTGGGTTGGGACAGACACTTTGGGTCTGTCCTGCAGTGCTGTGGATTGTCCAGCTGCTCCCTGGAGCACAGTTTTGGGGTGCAACTCAGCAGCTCTCAAATGGGAAACATTTGTCCTGCAACAGGATTTGCCTGTGCCACACGTCTGATGTTGATCACTTGGGATCTCAGTCTTGTCCCTGGAGCCCTTCCCTGCTCTGAGCTGGGCTGCCCCTGTCGCAGGGCTGTCTCCATCCCCATAGGCTCACCCAGGGTGGAGAGAATGGTCTGGTGTGATGTGTGATGGGGTGGGACAGCATTGCCTGGGCATGAGTGTTTCCAGAGCCACTGACTATCCCTGGGTCCCATCATGGACCTGCGGCACCTTTGCTTGTGCAGGGCCCTGTCATCAAAGTGAACAGCAACCAGCGCTACGCCTCCACAGCTGTCACCGAAGCCATAATCCGGGACATCGCCGCCCGTGTGGGTGTCCCTCTGCAGGTGAGCGCGGCTGAGTGAGCCCTCCTGGAACACTGCGAGTTTGGGCTGCAGCCCTGCCCCTCAGTTCATGAGAGGAGGCCTGTGCTAGAGCCCCACTCCTGTTACCATATCTGTCCCCACTGTGGTCTCTGCTGCCGGCTGCTGTGGGGCTCCAGCTCCACTGCTGCCTCAGGGAGCAGGCTGGGGAACAGGAAGGGAATCTGGCCTCAGTGTGTCCCATCTCTGGAGGATTTTGTACCCTGGCTTGGATCAGTGCTGCTTCCTTGTCCCAGGTTGTCTCCCTTCAGGGCTGAGTGCCCATGTGGGAGGCTGTGGGGCAGCATGGGGAGCTGCTGAGGCCTTGTCCCCCTGCAGGAGTTCATGGTGCGCAACGACACGCCCTGCGGCACCACCATTGGCCCCATCCTGGCCTCCCGCCTGGGGCTGCGCGTGCTGGACATCGGCTGCCCGCAGCTGGCCATGCATTCCATCCGGGAGATGTGCTGCACCTCAGGGGTGCTCCAGAGCATTACCCTCTTCAAGGTAAATTCTATGGACCCCATCCTGTGCTGAATCCCTCTCCCTGCTCCTCTGCATTTCTTGCATCCCCATGTCCCTATCCAACCCCTGCCTTGGGACTGAGCTTTCCCACTCTCGAACCCTCTGGAGCAGCGCAGGTACCGGCTGCTTCCAGAGGTGCCCCCTTGCATACCAGCCTCCCCCAGTGACTGCCATCCCTAAATAGTTACTATGGCAACCAGTGCTAGCCTTGAGTCAGCGATGGGTTACTATGGCGACGTGGTCCTGCTCTCTGCGAGTAGCATGCCTGCTACAACGCTGCCTGCGTAACCCAACAGGGAGCCACTGCCTGCTCCCGCTGCCTGTCCCCCCACCCCACCCCACCCCAAGTTGCCCTGCCCGGCCCACTCTGACAGCCTCTCTCCTTCCAGGGCTTCTTCGAACTCCTGCCGACAGTCAGCAGCAGCCTGGTGGTCGACTGAGCGCAGTGGGAAGGGAGCAGCAGCGGGTTCAGTGCTGGGGCCATTAAAGCATCTCTAGCTCACTGGCGAGTGGTCCATGACTGCGGCTGGGGTTGGGGGTAACATATGTAGCTACCGCTGGGGACTCCCATGGCTCCTAATCCATGCTCTCCTCCCCTGGGGCTGGGAGCGGAACCTATTCACCCACCCCCAGTGCTGGCGATCTCAGCTGAGGGGCAGAACACGGCTTTGCCTTCACCCATGGAGAACTGGCTGGATGATGTCCCCTCTCTCTGCGGTGCTGGGACCGCCCCTTTCCGCAGGGCTGAACCTGCCGTGTGTGCAGCTGCTCTCCGGGGCCGGGCCAGGGGTCCCTGCGTGGGGGCTGCGCGCTCCCCTCGGCCGGTGCCGGGGCGCTGCCGCTGGGCGGGGCACGAGGGTGCGGCTCCGCGCTCGCCGCCCATTGGCCCCTTCTCAGGGGCGTGTCCCGCCCAGGAGCCAGTGGGATCGCAGAACTGGGCAGGGGCGGGCGCTGATTGGCGGAGGCGCTCCTGGCGCGGTGACACACCCCCGGGGGCGTGGCTCACCCCCAAGGAGGCCGCGATTGGCGCGCCGCTGGGCCGCCTCTTCCCCAGGCGTGACGTGATTGGCCGCGCTCGACAGCGAGGGGCGTGAGCGCGGCGCCGGGGACAGCAGCACGGTTTTCTGATTGGCTGCGGGGCGGGGGGGCGCGGCGCGGCGGCAGCGCGCCCGGTGCCATTGGCCGGGCGGTGGCGGTGGGCGGGGCGCGCGGCTCGGCGGGGCGCGGGTTGGCGGCGGCGGCGGGGGCGCGGCCGCGGGTGCGCCATGGTGCGACCGTGAGCGGAGCATGGGGCGGCGGCTCCTCCGGGCGCTCCTCTACCTCCTTCTCCTGGCTGGCCGCGGGCAGCTGCGGGACGGCGCCTCCGCCGCCACCGCCGCGCACGGTGAGATCGCGATCCCGCGCGGGGCGGCTTTTGCGGGGGCCTGGGGGCGCATTCCGGGGAGCGGCGGGGCAGGGGGGTCCGCGGCCGGTGCGGTCGTCGCAGCCGTAGGTGCTGTCACGGCGCGCGGCGGTGGGCCCGATCGACCCCCGGCGGAGAACAGGGGACGGTGGCCCGGGGCCGGCACCGCGGGTGCGTCACTGGCGCCGGGGGCGCCCCTCTCCCGGGGCTGCCGCGCCAGTGGGGGTGCTGGTCCCGGGGCCCCCCGTCGGCTGAGAGTTTCCGACCCGTCGGGGCCGGCGAGACAGGACGGGAGCAAAACGGTGCTTGCTCATGCCCGAGGCAAAGCCAGTGCCTGGGGCTGCCGCGAGAATCGGGAGCCCGGGGCAGCGGCCCTGAGCGCGGCTCCCTCCGGGACCCCGCCGCCCCTTGGCCACCTTCCTCTAGTGAGTGCGGCCCAGACCGGGCCGGCGCACCCGCTCTTCTCCAGCTCGGCCCGTGTGGCCTCTGCCTGCGACTCTCGGGGACCCGAGTGTCGCTGCCGGTAGCAGGGCTGGAGCCCCTCGCACGGCACGGCACGGCCCCAGCCACCGCTGACTCACTACCGGGCGCCCGGGGCTGCTGCGCCCCTTGTCCTCCAGCGGCCCAGGAGCGCCGGGATGGGTCTGGCCAGCCCGCGGGGGTCCCGCTGTCCCCGGGAGCAGGAGGGGATGGTGCCGGGGCGGCTGTAGCCGAGCCCCGTCCTGGCCAGGGTAGCCCCCCTGGGCCGGGGCCACCGCCCCTCCCGGCGGAGCGGGGCGTCCCGGCGGGAGAGCGATACGTCGCTTCAGCACCGCGGACAGCGCCGGCCCGGCCCCGCCACCCCGGCCCGGCCTCCGCTCCCGCCGCCCCCGGGGTCTCCCCTGGCAGAGGGGTCCTGTGCCCCGCACCCGCGTGGCTCTCGCCCCGGGGGACGCTGGCCCGCGGGTGCCCGGGTTTCAGAGACCCCCATCCCCATTAGCCCCCTTCCCCTGCGGCGGGCTCGGCGGGCCCCTCCCTCCCCTCCCCCCGGTTGTTTTCTCGTTCCTTCCTTGCCATCCGGGGCTGAGTCATCGCCTGCTGCCGTCTCGCTGCTGACGGTCTTGGACCGAGACGGGGGGGGAGAGCAAGAGGGAAGCGGCCCCCTGCCCAAGTGCTGCCCCCCGAAGGGGATGGAGAGGCACACACCCCACCCCCCCACCCACTACCGCTGCTGCATCCATGCTTTGGGGTACCTCTTGCAGGGCGAGTGGGTCCCTGGTGTGACTGAGTTGCATCTCTGCCTCGTAGTACCACATGTAGGAGGGCAACAGATGTGGTTTTGCAGGTCTCTGCCCCCTCAGTCTTCCCTGCCTAACTACCAGCACCCCAAAAAACTCCAGGTCTTCTCCATTCTCCCAGGCCAAGGGCATTCTGTGTACACATCCCCCTTCTTGGCTTTGAGGGGCAGAAAAGGCTGGCATTGAGGCTCTGCCCTTAGCTACAAAGTTGTGCCCCCTCCCACCATCACCACATTGCATCCCTGTGCCACTTTCCTGGAGAGTGGGGGTCCCCAAGCAGCTGGTGACAAGCAAACCCAATTGAAGCCCCCTTGGATGCTGTGCTGACTGGCCTGCCTGCCTGTCTTTCTGTCTGTCTGTCTGTCCACCGCAGGCTGCCTGTTTGACCGGAGGTTGTGCTCCCCTCAGGAGGTGTGTGTGCAGGGTAAGTGTCTATCGGGGTGCAGGGATCCCCTCCCCCTTCCCAAGGAAGGGATGCAATGCAGGGGAATATGGCAGAAGAAAGGTAGGGCTGTGCCTGAAGACCCTCACCCTCACCCCAGCGTGTTTGTTGTCTGGCCATGCTGCCTCCCCTCTCTTGCAGATGGGCTGTTTGGCCAGTGCCAGGTGGGCTCCGTGCAGGACAGACCCTACTTCCAGATCACCTCTCCTGTGCTCCAGCGCCTGCAGGATGTCTTACGGCATCTCATGGCACAAGGTGAAGGGGGGAGCGTGGGGGGAGTCTCTGAGGCCATGCAGGGCAAGGGTGTCAGGCAGCATTGCCTGGTGGCACTAGGGCTGTCCAAGGTTCTGCTGGCCCGGGGGCCAGACTGCGCTAAGGAGGGTGATCCTGGGAGGAGTGGGACCAAACCCAGGCCATAAGACCCAGAGTCAGGACATGAGGACAGCCTTCCGTGCACTCACACCATGGTTCTCAGGCTGCCCCCACATCTCACAGCCCTCTCCCATGGCAGGGCTCTCGTGGCAGGACAGCATCACGCAGTATGTGATTTCACAGGAGATGGAGCGCATCCCCCGCCTCCGCCTGCCGCCCTCGCTGGAGCCAGTGGCCAGGGACAGGTAGGGCAATGCCAGCTGCCAGCCTGTGAGGAGAACCCAGCAGAGCAGTGAGGGCTTTGCTCCCCTAATGGGGTTTAGGGGAGGGAATTCTCCCTTACCCAGGGGAGTCACCCCAGCACTGTTTGCCTTCAAGGTTCCTGCCACTCCGTGTTGAGCCCCGGCGAGCCCCGCTTCCCCTAGACCGTGGCCTGCCAGCAGCTCAGCATCTGGGGCAGCCCCCACCACTATTACCTTCCCCACTGGTGCAAAGGTACCTGGAGCACCTCCTGCTGCCCTCCCCGTCCCAGCTGGGCTATGAGGAGGCTCTACTCAACCCCTACTCCTACCACAAGGTAAGCTGGGGGTTGAGCCCTCTTCTCTCAAGCAGAAAAGTAGAGATTTGCAGGGGGCCTCTGCACTCCCAACACCCTCCTGCTGGGGTACCCCCTGCTTCCACCATGGGGTGACAGGAGCCCTGTGGGTTTTGACCATGTGTTTTGGTTGCAGTTTGGCTACCAGGATGGTGCTCACCAGCATCCCAGCGGCTCAGCCAGGCAGAGCTCTGAGACCTCCTCGCTACTGGGCCGGGTCCCTGCCCAGGCCCTTTTTGGGGCTGGCCCTGTGCCCTCCTATGGTGCACAGCCAGGAATGGATGGGGGGCATCTCTTCCAGGACTTGGGCATGCTTTCCCTGCCCAGAGAGAAAGCCAGCCGCCCAGACCCTGCCAGCACCAGGCTCCAGCACAGCTTGCAACTCCCCAGTGACTACAGAAGCACGGAGGAGAGGGAGCAGCCAGCACCCTTGGCTGCCCAGCCACCCTCTACACAGACAGGTACCTTGTTCTCCAGCCAGGCACCAACCCTTGTCTCTACCCTGTACTTACATCCATGTTCCTCATGTCTCACACTCTCCCTCCTCTTTGACTTTATGCCCAGGGGCAGCATATTCCCCCAACCCCACTTGCCTCATTTGCTACATCCTTAGCCCCTGGTTTCCATGCAGATGCAGAGCATCCAACCTCATGCTGCATCCTCTTGCAGATGCTGCCCTGAAGAGACTGGCCTCCCTCCTGGCCAGCTATGGCCTCGGGCTGCCAGAGCTGAGCCCCCAGCAACTGAGCAGCCTCTCCAGCCTCATCCAACTGCTCCAGAGCTCTGGTGAGCTAGGTGAAGGGATGGGGTGGGCAGGTACTGGCCATGGTGGGTGCCAGCATGCCCTGTTTCAGAGTAGGGCATGTTGCCTTTTTGGGGTGGATGCTGCAAGATTTGTCTCTCTCCTTTCCAGGTGTTGTTGGCCCTGAAGTGCCCACAGTCAAACGGGTGGGTTTGCAGCAGGGTGGTGCTGGAGGAGATGCCACACCACAGGTGGGATGGGGTGGAGGAGGCAGTCCCCCAGGGCTCTCCTCAGAGGTCCCAGTTTCTCCCTTTCCCTCCCTTCAGGTGACGGAGGGGGACATGCAGCACGGAGAGGAGCCAGTGCCCCCTTCCTCCACAATGCCGCCCCCTAAAATCCCAGCCAGCAGCTCCCCAGGGGATGTGCCAAAGGGCAGAGTGGCATCCTCATCAGCTCCCCAGGCCGAGCCACAGGGGGCACATGGTGGAGATGCAGTCAGCCCCAGGCAGCAGATTCTGGTGGAGAAGAAGAGCTACACGGAGACAAAGGATGGTGGGGCACAGCGGCACATGCATCCACCAGACGAGTATGGCTACATCATCACAGACCAGAAGTGAGAGCAGGGGGTCAGGCTGAGGGGGTCTGTGTGTGTGGAGGGTCTGTGTCTCCCCACCAACAGCTGTCACAGCTCCGCATGTTTGGCCAAGCCTGTTTGGGATGGGGTTGGTCAGCTTCTCCCTGTCCCCTCTCTATCCACACCCTTGTCCCACCCCAAAGCCTTCCTTTCTCAGCCCACACCAAGGCTAGAGCTTGCTGTTGCAGGATGGGAGGCTGGGAGTGTCTGTGCAAGGATGAGGGGGTCAGCTCACTCCCACCACCACACATCCCCACGCTCTTACCTCCTGCCCCTCCTGACACCCCTGCAGCTAGCACTGCTCTCACTGCATGCTTGGAACTCCCTGAGCCTGCCCATCCCTGTGCCCTGACTGTGGGGAGCGTGGACTGTCCCCTTGCCCTCGCTGCCTGCTCCTCACCCTGACCCTGTCCCCTCAGGCCCCTGGGGCTGGCTGCTGGTGTGCGGCTGCTGGAACTCCTTGCCAAGCACCTCCACCTCTCCACCACCAGCTTCATCAACATCAGGTGAGAGGAGCAGGGCCATGGGTGCTGCTGTCTCAGCCTTGGCTGTGCTCAGCCCTCTCGGGCAGGAGTCCAGGAGGGACTGGTCTGTGGTGGGGATAGGAAGGGGGTCTGCACTTCCCAGTCTCACACTGTGTCCCCCTTCTCCCTGCAGCGTTGTGGGTCCTGCACTTACCTTCCGCATCCGACAGAACCCTCAGAACTTCTCCCTGACAGATGTGGCCAGCCAGACTGGTGAGTTCAGCACCTAGTCCTGTTCCTCTCTTCCCCCTGCACTGTGGGGTGCCCCTTCCCAGGGACTGGAAAGAGGGGAACTCCCACCATACATCCCAATGTCTTTGGCTGAATGGGGGAGCTGATATGAGGTAAAGAGTTGCTGGGGTTATCCCTTGGCTCTATCTTTGTTGCGGGTGGATCTCTTGTGTGGAAAGCAAGCGTCCCTCTGACCATCTCCTCTCTATCCACAGAGCAAGTGAAGACAGAGCTGGAGCATGAGCTGGGCCTGAAGATTGTGCAAACAGGAGTGGGAGAGGTAGGAGGGAGCAAGCATGCCTGTCCCTTGGGGCTAGGGTGGCCAGGGACAGGGTACTGGGAGTGCTGCCACTGAGTATGAGCAGGAAGCATGCTGTTGCCCACCCCTGGGGCACAGGGGTCTTCATGACTGAGACATCCCTGTGGGTCTGTGGGGCAGTTTAGGAACAGAGGGCTCTGGGCAGTGTTTGGGATGCTGTGCTGGGGGCAGACTCAGGTTATCTGGGATGGCCCAGAGCAGAACTGCTCCAATTCCATCCATCCATCATTCCCCCTGATGCCCAGCAGCACGATGTTGCTCTGTTGCTTGTACTCCCAGGGCTCTCGGCTCTTTGCAAAACAAAATCTCAATAAGGTTTCAAGATGATTTGTGAGGGACTCCCAGGGGCTTTTCTACCCCTCCAAGACTGGGGAGCTGTGGGCTGTACCCCACAGGACTCATCCTCACCCTTGCCTCCCTCCAGCCTGCACACCCCATCTTAGCTGCAGCCTGGGCATTCGAGCACTGGGCTGTTTCCAAAGCACCCCAGAGATCACAGCTAGGCAGGCAAAATGCCATCATGTCCCCAGAGAATGGCAAAGCAGCTGACGACAAGGATGGAACAGGAACCATCTGTTTGGAGAGGGATACCCCCTCCCCTTGCTCCTCTAGGGGTCCACAGGAAGAGTCTCCTGGGAGGGGAGCAGGGGTTGGAGATGGGGACGAAACCTGGCTCCTGTGTTTGCAGCCTGAGGAGGGGAAGTGGTGTAGCACATTCCCAGCCTGGGATCCCCATTTCCCACCCTCTTGCCCTGTGACCATATCTGTGGGCAAGGAGGAAGGAAGGGGGAACTCTGGAGGAGGAGGCCATGGAGAAGGGGTGGCCTGGCCACCTGTCTCCATCAGTAATGTGTGGAGTGTCGCTATGGCAATGCCTTTTGATGTGGCAAGTGGCAGGAACTGGGAGAGATGTCAGCGATGACAGAGATGGAGCTCAGAGGAGGCTGTGGCAGCTTTGCAAGCCCTCTTCTGCATCAACCTCTCCAGTCCTCACCAGCTTGTGCTTTTCCTTTATTCCCTGCTGGCTCTGAATTTGATGGGACTGGTGCATGATTTGGGGAAGGAGCGATGTGGAGAGTCAGGGAGACAGCAGGGCCTGGGCAGGCCTTGGGAGGGAAGTGCCTTCTGTCCCCCCTGGCTCTGCTGATACCTCCAGGGGCTACAGAGCTGTTCCTGCTCGGGTGCCTAGGAGAGCTGGGAGGTGCTGGCCCTGGTGGGTGCCCTGACTGCAGGACTGGCTGGACCCTGACATGGGGCTGATGCAGCTGGGGGGCAAGTGGCAGCGGGAACACCTAGGCTGGGGACATCCCCAGGCGATGATGATGATGATGACGTAGATGATGATGGTGCAGTGTTCCCTCGGTAACCTCATCAGGCTCATAGCCAATGGGAGGCTGTGGCAATGAGGTAATGCTGGGCTCTGGCACCTCATTGGGCACAGGGTATTTGAAGTGCTGATGCCTCAGCATCCCTGTGCTGCCCCACCAACATCCTGATCACAAGACGCTCTGGGGCAAGGACCTGGGCATTGGCAGGAAGGTCTTGTCCAGCAAGGGCTGAGCAGCATCCTGTTCCAGCATGGCTTAGGGTGTCTTCCCCAGCCACACGAAAGGAGCCCTAGAGACACTACCTGCAAGGTGGCAGGGGCTGCTCTGTGTCCTAGCTGAGGAGGGCAATGGGCAGGACCTGTCCCCCAGCCACTACAGCTGAGATGGCACCAGCCCTCTGGCAGTGCTGGCACATCTGGCCCCCCTGACTTCCCCCAATGTTCTGTTGTGGAGCAGTGACTGCAGAGGAGAGCAAGCCTCATTTGGGGAAGTCCCCTGAGAGCAGCACATCCAGCGCTGCAGTGGCCCATCCTTCACCATTAACCCCTTGGGCTGAATTCAGCCCTTTTTGACCTCCAGCTGGGCAGAAAGAGCACATTGAACCAAAGTTCTGTGGGGCTACTGCCTGGTCTGAAAGGGAACAGCTCAGGCCAGGGCTGCCTTGGGCAGCAGCCGTGGGTGCTGGGAGCACGGAGGCAGGAAGTCGCTGCTGCCTGGGCTTGGCCAGGCTCCTGCAGCCCCAGGGACACCACTGTGAGCAGTGCCCCATGTAACATGCAGGTGGGTGCACCCTGCCTCACCCCAATGACACCATCTTTGTCCCAGCTCAGGGTGCTGAGAGAATCAGCACCCTCAGGTAGAGGAAAAAAGAGCCCTTGTCCTGTTTGAACACCCAGCAACCCCAAATGTAGAGCAGAATAGGGTCTCAGCCTGATGCAGATGTCCCCCACTAACCCTTGCTTGGCTCTGCCCCCAGCGAAACGAGGCTGCTGCCTATTCACGCCCATCCCACTTCAGGGATGGCTTCCACTCGGTGCTGCTGACCTTCATAGCGCTGGCCTGCGTGGCGGGCATTGCCATCGCAATTTCTGCAGCCTTCTGCCTCCGGCGCCATGCCAAGCAGCGGGAGAAGGAGCGCCTGGCCGCCCTGGGGCCAGAGGGTGCTGCTGACACCACCTTCGAGTACCAGGTAGGACCCTGTGGGATGCAGGATCCTGCAGGATGTGCCACTGCTGTGTCAGCATCGCTTGGGGTGCATGGGGCTGTCCTATGGCAGCACTGTGGCCAAGGGACAGGGCTATTGCTGGTGTTCCCCAGGAGCTGTGCCGCCAGCACATGGCTGCCAAGTCTCTCTTTGGCCGCACTGAGACAGCGGCAGCACCAGCAGAGACCTCGAGGGTCAGCAGCATCTCATCCCAGTTCAGCGACGCCCCACAGCCTAGCCCCAGCTCTCACAGCAGCACACCCTCCTGGTGTGAGGAGCCCGTCCAGTCCAACATGGACATCTCCACTGGACACATGATCCTGGTGAGCCAGCCTGGCAGGGTGGCAGCACCCCTGCCCAGCACCCTTCCTCCCCCCTGCTGCTGGGCTGACCCCTGCCCCTCTACCCCAGGCCTATATGGAGGACCACCTCCGCAACCGGGACCGGCTGGCCAAGGAGTGGCAGGCGCTCTGCGCCTACCAAGCTGAGCCCAGCATCTGCTCCATCGCCCAGAGCGAAGCCAACCTGAAGAAGAACCGCAACCCTGACTATGTGCCATGTGAGCATCCCAGCCACCCTGCCCCAGGGACCAGCTCCTGCCAAAGCCGTGGCTGGAGCAGGGTGTGGGGCATGGGGATGCTTTGGGGCCACAGCTGGTTGCAGTATTGGTTTGCCCCCAGCTACCCTAGACACTCACAACTTTTCCTGGCCTGTGTTTCCCCAGATGATCACGTGAGGATCAAACTGAAAGCCGAGAGCAACCCCTCCCGCAGTGACTTCATCAATGCCAGTCCAATTGTGAGTGATCACCAGGGGCTCCTGCCCTGACACCCTACTCTGTGATGTGCCCAGCTCAGGCAAGGCTCTCACTCTGGGATAGAGATAGACTGAGCTCACATTCCTGAAGGCTATGGATGTGAGCCTTGTGCCTGCCCCATTGCTCAGACATAGTTCAATCTCATTTTCCTCCTGGCTGTGGCACCTGAATCTCCCTCTCCAGCCCTCCCATCACCCCTGGAGTATCCCCCCACTCCTCTCAGTGTCACCAACCCCTGGCCAAAGAGCATGCAGTCTGACAGCCCCTATTCTGCTCCAGATCGAGCATGACCCGCGGATGCCAGCGTACATCGCCACACAGGGGCCACTGTCCCACACTATTGCTGACTTCTGGCAGGTGAGTGTCACCTGCCTGTGCCAGCCCATTGGGGCCCCTTTGTGTGCTGCCCACAAGATGGGTCACAGTGGCTTGACTGCCCTCCTGTCTGTCCTGTTGCCCGGCGGTGACAACCCCCTTGCCTTGCCTGCAGATGGTGTGGGAACATGGCTGCACTGTCATTGTCATGCTGAGCCCTCTGGCTGAGGACAGTGTCAAGCAGTGTGACCGATACTGGCCAGATGAAGGCTCCTCTCTCTACCACATCTACGAGGCAAGTGTGGCGAGTAGCCTTGGGCAAGGAGCATCCTCCAGCCCCCGCCCCCCTGAGTGCAGCGCCCTTGCCGGCACTGGCGCCCACGAGCTGCCTCTCTTGGACAGGTGAACCTGGTGTCAGAGCACATCTGGTGCGAGGATTTCCTGGTGCGCAGCTTCTACCTGAAGAACGTGCAGTCGCAGGAGACCCGCACCCTGACGCAATTCCACTTCCTCAGCTGGCCAGCCGAGGGCATCCCCACCACCACCCGGCCCCTCCTCGACTTCCGCAGGTGAGTGCCCACCCGGCACCGTGCCAGCCCACGGGGAGCCAGCGGTGGTCCCAGATGCAGGTGACTGATGGGCGAGGAAATTGCTGCCAATGTGATGAGGGTTAGGGCCGTGGCGTGGACTGGGTGCAGGGACACCGTGCATGGGAGAGAGCAGAAGATCCAGGTTCTGGCCAGCTTGGGATGAGGCTCAACAGAGCTTGGTGGGCAAGAAACCTCCAGCTGAGGTTGCCAGGGCTCTCCAGCCTTCATGGGGATGGTGGGAAAGTGCTCTTCCCTAGAGCTAGCATGGGAGACAGTGCTGCCTGGTACCCTCCCCACCCATGGGTGCACAAGAAGCCCCTAGACCCAGCCTTAAACAGCTGTGACCCATTGCTCCCAATGCATTGAAACCAGTGGTGGGTCCCCAGGTAGCCCAGGGCAAGGACTTCAAAGCTGGGACTGCTCCCAGGAGGTCAGCGCCTGCTCAGGTCTTTAGGTCCCTGAGTGGCAGTGGGCTCTTGCCAGGGGCAGGCTGCTTACTGTCCCTAGGCTGTGTGGGGCCAGGGACCCAGCTTAGGGCAGCAGGGGTTCTCTGAGCACATTATCCTCCTCTCAGTCCCACTCACGCTCTTTCTCTCTGTCTGTCTCTCTCTCGCAGCTGCCGGCGTCATTTTTGTGATTTGCAGCTAGTAATCTGGCTCCAGTTGCATAGTCACAAAAGTGATCGTTGGCAGCCGTGCCTGCTGCATGGAGCACACCGGGAGCCGAGCCGGCACCTGGCCCCAAGCTTCGTGCTCCACCGGACCAGTTACTCCCTTGGGGGTTCTGCCACTGCTCCCCTCTCCGGGTTGGGCACCCAAGGAACTGAGCTCCTCTCCCTGTCCCGGCCACTTTCCACACATGGTCCCCATCCCATGTCCAGCACCACTGTGGAGGCAGGAGGAGCCATGAGCTGGACCCCCAGGGCCACATCATGGTGTGCTGCTGCCCTGTCCTGCTCAGCACAGCAAGGGACACCTAGCACAGCCTTGTCGCTGGCACAGCAGGGCACTAACCTGTTCCCTCTTATCCTTGCAGGAAGGTGAATAAGTGCTACCGGGGTCGCTCCTGCCCTATTATTGTGCACTGCAGGTACTGCGGGGGATGGAGGAGCATAGGGGATGGAGGGTGGCTGCAAAGCTGGGACTTGCTGCCCAGGACCAGTTCCTGGAGCCAGTCCCCCTGGGCCAAGCATCTGTGTCTTGCAGTGACGGTGCAGGCAGGACCGGGACGTATATCCTTGTCGACATGGTCCTGAACCGAATGGCCAAAGGTACGTGCAGGGAAGCACCATTTCTGCTGTCTGGGGGCTACGAGGCCATGAGCTTGGCCTGTGTCTCCCCTGTTCTAGCACCCCTCTCCCCCTCTTCCCCAGGGGTGAAGGAAATAGACATAGCTGCTACACTGGAGCACATCCGAGACCAGCGGCCTGGCATGGTGCAGACCAAGGTACTCCCCAAACTGGCGATCTCCTCCCTCCATAAGCCCCCTTGGGGCTGGGCTGGCAGGGACCCTCACGCCCCCTGCTGTGCTCCCACAGGACCAATTTGAGTTTGCGCTGACGGCCGTGGCCGAAGAAGTGAATGCCATTCTGAAGGCACTCCCGCAGTGATGGCGAAGAGTTCTCTCATCTGTCTCCGTGCCCCCGCTTCATGCTCTCCTCATTCTGCCTTTGGGGCTGCTCTCCCTGTAAAATGCTGTCTGTGCTTCTGGCTCTGTTCCCCCTGCCCCCAGGCCCCCCTTTTCCTCTCCCCAAGAACACCAACCTCAGGCCCTCTGTGTGCAGGAACCCCATTGCACCTGCTGTCACCAGAGGGGACAGGGCTCATGTCCCCTATGCCTGCAGAGGAGGGGAGCAGGTGGTGCTGCTGGGAACTGGCGGGAGGGGCCCCCCAGCTGGTCTCCTGCACCCCAACCTGTCAGTCCTGTGTTAGCTCTCTCCCTGTACCACGTGAGGGGCAGAAGTGGGCAGGAGTCCCCTACAGCTGAGGGGAGCACAGGGTGCAGGGGGACCTGGCCCAGCCCCAGGTCCCCTTTGTGTGCTCCCTGCCTTGTCACTTGAGCAGAAGAGAAATTTCTAGAGAAATATAATTTTGTATCTTGATGTGAATAAAGTTCTCGTGTCACGTTCGTGCAGCTGCAGCCAGGCCTGGCCTCTGATTATGTGTACTGGGAGATGTCATGTCTGTCCATCTCTATCCCTGCATTCCACAACTCCTGGACAAGAACAGCTCACCTGCAGGCAAAGATGGGAGGAACCCCAGCTCAGAGAGATCCCACAGGCAGAAGCTACTGCAAACAGGTTTATTGACAGCTGTCAGTAGAAGGGGGTTAGAGGGGGGGGGGGCTACAGCAAGGAGGGGGGCAGAGCCCAGTCCTGCTGGCTGAGCCCAGCCATGCTGCCCCTCACTGCCTCCTCCCAGCACCCCCCAGCAGCCTAATCTACAGCAACCCCCATCACCACCCTCCCCACCACCTTGTGGTGCCCAGGGCATCTCCCCTCAGCTCCAGGTATTGCTCAGCCATAAGCCCTGTTGTGCCCCCCAAACTGCGTCCCACGGAGCCAGAGGGTGCTGGGGGAAGGGGGTGGCAGGGGATGGCCGTGCAGGGAAAAAGCGGAGTCCTGGCTGGGAGAGCCTCCATGGGCGAGTGGGTGTGTGCAGTCCCCGGGCGCAGCAGCCTCAGAACACACCTGGGGAGACAAGCGGAGGGGGGGACACAACAGCATCTGTGAAATCCTCCTCGGCCCAGGGCTGGGTAGGGGCAGGGATGGAGAAAGGTCCCAGGAAGAGGAGGAAGAAAGCCAAGGCAGAACCACAGACAACAGAGAGGTTGGAAACACTTGTGAGCATCACGGAGAGTCACTGCTGCTGTGGGAAGCAAGGATGAACAAAGCCCTGGAGGGTGTGCAAGGCACAGGGAAGGGGGTGACCAGGCTGGGTTTACAAAGAGACAGGAGGAGGGGATACAGGCAGGAGTGACAGCATCCAGAGGGGAGAGACAAACACCAGGCACCAAGCAGAGGCCGTGTGCGCACCCCTTCTTGCAAGGAGGAGGAGCCCAACCCAGTACTGCCCCCAGCCGGGGCAGGAGCAGGCAGCAGGCAGGGAGGCACCGGCTGGAGATCCTGCCCATCTGCAGGCAGGCAGGGAGAGAGCAGCAGGCAGAGCCAGGGCATGCCTGCCTGCGGGCACACCATGCTTCCAGGAGCCAGGGCAGGGAGTGCCCCTCTTCCTGGGACCCCACCAACAGAGCCCCTCTTTAAGCCACTATCTCCAAGTCTGGAAGCCCCCAACCTAGGGATGCCACCAGCTGCCCACTCACATGAACAATGATGCAGAGCAGGAGAGACCCCCTCCCTTGCTGGAGTAACCTGGAGCCGAGTTCCAGGCAGTGAGACTCCACCCCCCTTTTCTTCTCCCTACCCCATGGAGAGGGGCACGACCCCAACACCATGATCAGAGCAGGGGGCAGTGCCACAGCTTCACTTTGGGGGCAACTTCATGCCCTGCTGTAGCAAGGCTGCTGGCCCCCAGTGGCTCCTGCTCTGGCCTCCCCCGGGGGCCACGGGCTCTGTGGCTGGAGGATGGGGTGCTGTGGCTGCCCCCCGGTGCCGGCAGGGAGCTGTGCCCACCTGCTTGGTGGTGCCCTGCAGCTTCCATCTCAGAGAGGCTGTAGGCCATGGCCAGCTGCAAGTCCTCATCCTCATCCTCGCTGTCCGTGTAGAGGCAGACAGGTGAGGAGCTCGAGGGCTGGTGTGGGGCTGGTGGTGGGGGCGAGGAGGGCCGTGGCCTGGGGAAGGCTTGCTGCTCCCGCCGGCTCAGCTCCAGCCCCAATGCCATGTCATCAGGAACGCCTGTGGGGACAGAGCTGGTATGGAGCCCCAGCAATTCCTACCCATCCCACTAATCCTTCACAGCAGAGCTCCAAACCAGGGCTGACCAGGGCTCAGTCCAAAACCAAGCCTGGATGTAGCATCTCCCAGATACCCCAAAGGAGGAGAGGGGTCCCCAAAGGGATAGGGTGCAGACACCAACAAGTCAGTCTGCAGTGCTGCTTCTCACCATCGATGTGGATTGACTTTAGCTCCCCGTCCTCCTCCACTTCCACCCGCTCTCGCCCGTTCTCAATAATCCTGCAGACAAGACAGATGGATGGACAGTCAAGGGCCATGCAGCCAGAGCACTGCAGCAGGAAGCTGCAGGGTCTGGGGCCCACCAACAGAGACGGGTCTATGAGGGCAAGGTGGGCCAGCACCGCCCTCACCTCTTGGTGGTGATGCGCTTGCCATTAACGAAGGTGGTGGAGGTGGAGACAGAGCGGAAGCCCAGCCCTGCGTCCGCGCCAGAGCTGAAGGATGATGCGAAGAAATCTGGAGAAGGGAGCGACAAGGTCAGTGCCAGGGTGGGGGTCACAAGGAAAGTAGGGAACAGATCTTAGAGAGGGGGACATGATGTTCCAGGACTCCTCTGCTGGGAGGAATGGCAGCATCTCCTACCTGAGGATCCTGGGAAGGCAGAAAAGAAGTGGCCTCCCCCATGGTGCCGGGGGCCAGGTCCTCGCAGCTCAGAGAAGGGAAGCACATCATCTGAAAGGCAGGACCCCCTCAAAAGCATTACCCTTGCAGCATGGTAACCCAGGAGCAGGGCACCGATGTGGTGACCCCCTGCTGGGGCCAGCCTGAGCTCTGTCCCCAGGCCCAGTGGCTGCCCCAGGGCTAGAGAGATGCCCCAGAGCCAGCCCTCCTCACCCTGCACATACCAAAGAATTCAGCAAAGGGGTCTCGCCCACCGAAGAACTCCCGGAAGACATCGTGAGCGCTGCGGAAGGTGAAGGTGAATTCGGGCGCCCCAGCATTGGCCCTGGAGCCCCCTGCTCCTGTAAGAGGGAAGAGGCTCAGAGTTAAGTGGAGCTGTGGGTGAGAACTCCCCTGAGGATGGGGAGCCCTGGTGGCACCAACCCACACCAGGTCCTCAGACTTGGATGTATCCAGAGCTGCACTAACCTCCATGGCCCTGCTCACACACTCACCTGCCCCCATGAGTCCATCCTTGCCATAGCGGTCGTAGACATCACGCTTCTGCTCTGGAAGAAGAAAGGGGGCTGCGGGGAAGCCAGCTGCCAGGCATTGGCAGGAGCACTGACAGTTCTCCCAACTAAGGGAAGTGCAAACCAGCAGGGAGCAAGAGGAAGCACGTTGCACAAGCCCCTGCCACACCAGCATTGTACCCAAACCCAAGAAAGAGCAAGGGCACACAAGCCTCAGCTCTGTGGGGGAGATGCCATCGTGGAGGCCAGCATCCCTCCCAAGAGCTCTTTCGGGGGATGTATGGGGAAGTAACCAAGCCCCACAAGCTGTGTGGTCCCCTTCAGGGACCCACTGCCTCCTGGGAACATCCAGGAATGCAACCTGGGTGAGCTCAGCAGCAGGACACCTATGGGCGAGCAGCCCCAAAGGCAGGGATGCACACACAAGACATCACCGTGGCCTCTTACTGTCCGACAGCACTTCATAGGCCTCAGCAATCTCCTTGAATCTCTGCTCAGCGTACTCCTTGTTGTCTGGGTTTTTATCTGGGTGCCATTTCAGCGCAGCCTTCCTGTACCTGCACAGAGGGACAGTGATGGGCATGCAGCAGCCCTCAGGTTCCTGGGACAGCAACCCCCATCTGAGCCAACACCCCCCACCCTGTGGGCAGGGGCACCCCAACCCATGTCACCCAGTGCCCTACAGCCTCAACAGGACCTTCCTGGACTGGTTCTGCCTCCTGAGGAGAATATAAATTTTATATATCTCTCTCTATATATAATTTATATTTATACATACACACACCAATACACACAGAGTAAAAGAACAAACAAAACAGAAATGACCCCAGAACTGTGGTGTGAGCACAGCGGTGCAGCCTGTGCCCACCTCAGCTGCCCTTGGCGATGGCTCTGGACAATGCTCACAGGTTTGTTCTGGAGCCTTCCCAAGCTCCACCATGAGCATGAATGGACCAGGGGTTGCGGGGCACCTCCTGGGGCCAGGAAAGCACCAGCAACCTTTTCCTCTCCCCTGCAGGTAACTAGGGTTATCCCAGGTTGCCCAGCTTCTTCCACCCACTCTTAGGAAGCCCCACAGCAGGCACTTCTGTCCCCCGATGGCAAGCTGACGATCTGCTGGCATTCCCCTCAGGTGATGCCTCACCCCAGTGAGAATAGGAGGATTTCAGCAGGGTGCCAAGGCAGGAGTTGCAGAGGCTCCCCAGCAATGCCTGGGGCACAATACCGACCTGCCCACAGGGCCCATGTCTCTATAAGGGGACAGGCTGCTCCTCACCCTGTGAGCTCCAGTCCCCTGATCCTGACAGCCAGCAGAGCCACTATGCCCCATCCCTCTGCCACCCCACACCCTCCAGCAGAGAGAGAGGGGAGCCTCGCCTCCAGCCCCAGCCCAGGGCTGACAGCAGGGACAAAGGGACCAAAACCCACCAAGAGATGTCTTTTGCAGCCCCACTCTGGTCTCCGTACAAAGGAAACAAAGGCTGAATTTTCACCTCTAGACCTGGGCCCTGTGCCCACCTGCCCCGCAAGGAGCCCCTGCCTAGCTGGCACCAAGTGAGGGGTGGCTTGTGGTCCTCTGCCCGGCGGGCCTGGACACCCTGCCATGCACTTACGCCTTCTTGATGTCCTCGGCGGTGGCGTTGCGGCTCACCCCTAGGGCTTCGTAGTAGTCCACCATGACGTGAGCTGTCCCACGGGGTCACTGCGGGGGGGGAAAGCAAAGTCAGGGGTCCACAAGCACAGCCTGGCAGTGCTGCGTGTGCGACAGCAAGGGCAGACTGTCTGCCCTCTCCAGCACCCCAGCCACCTCACAGCCATCCCAAGAGCAGCTCAGTGCAACCCCATATCCAGCTGCCCAGCACCCTGCCTGCACCTCGGCCACCTGGGAGCACCCACAGCCCCAGCCGGGGGTCCCCTTGCTGCTGCCGCACCGCCGTCCCACCGGCGTCACCCCAACACGCCCAGGCAAGGGGTCAGGGTTTCCCGCGGCCAGCGCCCCTCCCCGCCCGCTTCCCGCGGGGGGTTCAGTCCCGGGGCGGTGTGGGGGGGGCAGCGGAGGGCGCAGCCCGCTAAGGTGCTTAGCGGCTGGAGCG